CCGCAGACACATTCTGACAGCACTTCAGACAGCAGCTTTGTGCCCCGCCAGCTCCTTGTTCCATGCCTAACATACATACATGGTGTTTTTGTGCAGACAGCACTTCAGACAGCAAGTATGCTGTAGTCGGCAATCATTCGTTTTGGTACAGAGTGGGACAGGTAGGGGGTGATGTTGCTGTAGTCGAACGGTGAGACGGACGTGTAGTTCAGTTTTGGGCACGCGTACGGTGCTGCAGGGATTATATATAGGTGTAGTAGTACCTCTTCGGGCTCTTGGATACCTTTTTCTTGCTACGTGTGCGTGTTCTTTAGATCCTCAGATGGCTCTAGCACTTTCGTGACCACGGGCTGAGAGTCTTTGCTAGATTTTGGCATTTAGCAACTGGCATACGGTTTAATGTGAAGTCAACAACAACAACAACAGGCCTTAAACAGGCATACTCCCTATTTATGGCCGATTAGGGCGTCCGCGCACCCTATATAAGGTCGGTTTTGGTGTGACGCACCCAGTTCTTCGGCAGCATTATTCAAGCCGCAACACAACCTCCTCTGCGTACACAACAACATGCCATACATCTCCGGTCTTGATGTGTCTATATCTACATGTTTTCCAGACGAAAGCGACACCTTGATGCTTCTGTGCCTGATGTTTCCGTGGACATATCTGAGCTGAGTCATGTGTTTGTGTGCAGCTCAAGTGATCACGTGAGGTATTGAGAGGTATCCATCCACCGCCGCCCGCCTGGCCCTCTCTCTCCTCCCCCTCCGATACGAAACGAGAACCGAGAGAGTTTCGCCGTCGGCGGTGGGTTGCAGGAGGAGGCTTGCAGGAGAGACATCCACTTCAAACGAGAGTTCCGCCGCGTTAGCCGCGTTAGGTTCGCCTCCGCCCGCCGTCGGAAGCGTCGGAACTCGAGTGCGGGGTGTTGGTGACGTGTGTTCGTGAGCGTGGTCTGCTGTTGGTCTGTTGGTCGAATAGCTCAGCCATTTTCGGGTAGGCGAGAGTAAGATCGGGTACCCCTCCGGGGGGTGAGTAGCCAAAATCGGGTGCACCCGGTGGGAACAGGGCCAGGGCCGGGTAGCGGCGGGCGTCGGCCAATCAGATGGCGCCAGGAGGGCGCTGCCGACTGTGAAAAACAAGTGTACCCGATAATGGCCGGATTGGGGCCGGGTGTACCCGATTTTGGCCACTCCTCAAAGAAAAATGTATTCTTTGAACCAAGAGTTCGTGGAACGTTCCCCTTCAGCTGGTGTTGGGTTAGAAACCTCATCCACACCCCAACGCAGCACCGAGCCGGAGGCGCAAAGGATCTGTAGGGGCATGGGCACGTGCTTACCTGCGGCTTGCATGGCAACGCCCAGGTGCGCAAAGCAGTGCTTTGGTGTTCGTGTGAGGCAAACGGACGGTGTTGTACACAACGCCCCAACGGCAAGACTCGTTGTGTTGGTCTATGCTTGTATTTGTTCTTGTTTGGGTACGTGTGCTCTCCCACCATCTGGGTGCGGAACACCGTTCTACTGACGCTTTGGCATTGATCTTGCAAACGCCTCACACCTAGCCACACTTGATGGTCTTCGGGGTCGAGGGCCTAGCGAGGACCAAAGTTGGGTATGCTGGGATTCTGTTAGCCATGGAGGGAGAGATCTGTGATGCGTGATCCCTAGTCCCTCCATCGCCGTACAGACGACGATTGTAGCCACGCATCGATTTCAAACCCAGTATATCCTGCTTCCTGCCAAAACACTGAAAAGAACACACCTGCAGGGCTGAATTCACGTAGTAGGAGCTCGTGCGAGACCAGTGCATACGGTCAGTACGCGTGGACATGGCTCGGGAATAGTACATGCGGAATTTACGTACGTCTGAGCACGCCTAACCCAACTGGACTTTTGCTACGTAATTTCGCGGCTTCCTGTGCCGCAGCCGGTAACACCTAGCATAACCCTGTGTGTGTGAGGAGGAGAGCGAGAGAGACGTGGGGAGAGCATGAGAACGATGGATACACTTGCCTTGATTTCCTCTGATGTATCCTCGGTCTACATGTAGACTAGTGCTGTACTAGCACGAAGAACGCCCGAGAGCTGCCGAACGTCGATTACCGTATTTGACACAAGATAACACACACCCTTGGCCATTTTTTTTTTCTTATTATGACACAACGAGTCCATCTCTATCATTGATAAGAGTCAGAGACAGATCGACAATGGAATCATAGCGTCAGAAAAAATACCTGTATTTCCGAAGCTCGACTTCTCAACTGCAGGAACAGTCACAGCGCCGAAAACGGCGGCGTTGAAACCGTCTCGTCGAGAGCTTGTCGAAAATGTATCATTTCGTGTATGCATCCTCTTCGTCATGGAGTAATCGAGCTTTGAAAATCGGTCCAGGGGGTGTGTGATCTTGTACCTATATGCGGTATACTCATCAGGTGAGCTTGGCCGTTGTACACCAGAACCCCAAACATGTGTGGCCGATGCGCACCAAGCGCAAAAGAATCGTGGTATTGCTTTGCCCCTCGTGCCGAGCGGGAGCGATGGACTCTTTTATCACTAGCTTGTGCAGCAATACATACTCGTACCACATGTACATTCGGTATTGGACACAAGATGACACACCCACGTAAATAACACCCCCCCAACAGAATACAATACCCTGTCTTGGTGTGCCACCAGGTGTGTTGAGTGTTTTCGTCCTATTTTATATGGCGACAGTCCCCTCATTTTTCGTGGTGAGACGTGTACTACACGTATTTCAGTGTAAGTACAACACTCTTCAGTGTCGGTAGTACGGGTTACATATACTTTAGATATCGCACACCCCTTTTTGTGAGCACTTGTAATAACAGAGCCCTGGTCGTATCACCCCCGTAATGGCACAGCAGTGGTCCCTGGTGATGTACATATCTGGCACAAGATGGCCCAGCAGGTCGCATACACGACACACCCGAATGGGCGGCATCGCACGCCTCAATGTTACAGCGGTTTGTGCCACATTTCGTCGCTGGAAGACGGGCGAAACAAAGACCTTGCGAGAAGCAGTTTTACCTAGGGTTCGCCCCACGTGCATCTGTGGCACTGCTGTGTAAAGTTAAATTCCAACCCTCCCGTTTTTTTGGGGATTTTACGTTTGGTGTCGCGCGCCCTCTCCCGAATGGTAGAGAGCCACCTTGGTCATCTCCTCCTAGTGTGCCTCTCACAGACCATGGCTGGGTCGTATTTTGGAGGAACGTCTAAATCAATGTGTACCGTTTCGCCCGTGCGCTGTTAATCCTATTTGGTTTTTACTTGTAACCGGAGAAATGCTGCGCCATCTCGTCGAAAACGCGACCGTTCCTAAGTGCTTCAGGCGATTTTTTTCATCTCTTGTTCCTTGTGGACTCCTTCTTCCATTGAAACCGCTTCAACTTCAACGCGGTCATTTTGTGTTGTCGCATGTACGACACTTGCCCACTAAATCGTCTAAATCGTCTCTTGCTCCTCCGTCGCAAACACCCCTCCGCCTTCCCCCCAGGCGATTGTGCGCCTGTTTCATGTTTTCCTTTGCTCTCCTCGGCACCCTCGCGCTCCTGCGGTCACCCGGCGCAAGCCCCAGCCTACGGCTTGTGGAGGGCGTTGATTGGCAGAACGCCCCGCGGATCGACCTGGTGTGTCGAACGTATGGCGCGGCCATTCAAATATTTTGGCAAACTTTCATCCCGACCTACCTGGTGAGCTCAATGTTTAGGGAGAAGGGTCACCCAGAGTAGGGGAGGCTGTTCGAGGTTCGTATATTAGCAGAAAAGAGCTCTGAGCTCGTATGTGAGGGTATAGCTAAGGGTGACGGGGGCAGCCTCTTGTGTACACACTCTAGGAGAAGAGAACCACCAATCCGGGCCAAGACCGGGCTTCGTCTCGTATGCCCCGGCCCGTGCCTTGTTTTGATTGTGCATCCCCTTCCAGATACGATCGGCTGTGCATGTCTCGTTCTGGACTTGAGAGGAACAAGTAACGCCGTTTCGTCCACGAGCGCTTCAACTGCGGTGGTCCATCCTGTGAGAGATGAACGTGTCAACGCACCGATTCATCTTGCGTTACCATTTGTCCTGCATACTGCCCTCCGAAAAAACGCATGCTGTATGCCCAGTGTAATTGGAAGGCACCAGGGAGTAATTTCATCACAGCCGGCGACATACGACGACGTTGTTTAATTGATGGAGGCCCTGCCAACCGCCGCAACTTTTTTTGTCCCACGCTGGTGGCGATCTCAGATGTTTTGGCCGATCTCGTCGTGGAAGTCCAGCGGCCTCGTCGTCATTCTGGACGGTGATAGCCCTTCCGACCATCGAATCGGGACGCTCCTTAAGAATATCAACTTGCCGTCCAAGTTGCAAGTGAAATACGAGACTCCTGCCCCCCCCGGCACGCTCTGCAACAACTGGCGAAGCGAAGGTTACGCCAGACAGCAGTACTCAAACTTCTATGCTGACTTGTACACGGATGCGGATTATTTGGGAATTATCGATACCGATGCCGCTTTCATTTCTCCAGGTGAGTTGAAAATGATCTTGGCATGAGTGGTTGTAGCTCAAGCTGGAATTCATGACATCCCTCTCTCTCCGTTATTAGAAGCAGTTTTTGATCAATTCTAATAACGAGTGCGAGATTTGAAATGCCGACATGTTCCAGGTTTGGTATACATTTTCAAGGTCGCTAACGGGTTAGAAATTCCGTAGGGAAACGCTGACGCCTGCGCTCGAGCCGTTGGCAAGACGTAAATTGAGGAGCACGGATATCACCATATTTTTCTTTTGACCGCCGCTAATTCCTGGGCAGAATATGTTGAAAACCCTTACTGACAACTGAACACAAACAAAAACACTGCTCATACGCAACGTCTTGCCGTGCGTCCATCTCATCCCTGCCCGACTCGCGCCCAACCGTTTTTGACACCATTCGCTCAATCGGCGCTGCCATCAGTGGTTCCGTCTGATCTCTTCGACGAGGGAAAGCCAATCCTGCGGGGCATGAACGTTATCACTCAATGGCAAAGTGAGACCAGCAGGAAAGCCACCGGGGGCTTCCCGTACGTGGGCAGGTTCATGACGAGAATCGCGTTCCCCATCATCATAAAGTCTGAGCACTTCTCCCAGATGAGGCAGGTTATCACGGAGAACCTTGGCGCGGAGACGTTTGAACAAGCGTTCAAAGCGATCTGTTCGGCGGGAAAGAACAGCTATTCCCAGTTCGAAATTATGATCAACTACCTTTGGTATTACCATCACGATGAGTACTCTTGGCACATTGCGGACCGCGACACCGGCGACTTCGACGGACTCAACCTACAAGGGTGGGTGGATGTTTTCTCTCGCCCTTGAGTTTCACAGAAGTCCGGTGACTGCAACTGTACATACCAGTTTTCTTTTCCCTTTGAACTCCACTGTATTTGACTTCCGTTGGCAGAAAGTCCCCACTGTATCATTAAAACCCTGCGGTTTTTTTCGCTCTAAGCCTGTAACATGCCCTACAAGTCGCGCAATCCGCTTGAATTGATGGAATTGGTTAGTCTCAGGCAGCAGTAGTACGTAATTCCAAAGCCAAGTGATTTGATGCACGCATGTTTTCCGATCACATGAACGCGTTCTTGCACGTATGTACCACATGAAACGAGACACAAACGCCGACGTTTTCCACCACGGCTGTTGCACCCTTGCCGCCGTTCTAGCCGTGCGAGGGCCTCCGATGATGGCAGTGTCGTGGCCGCGAACGTTCCGGCTATCTTTGTCATGAAGCACCTGGACGATAAGGACGTCTTCACCTTGAACGACGACATGTACGAGAACATGTGCCTCGGCAGCAACAACGAGGCGGGGAACTGCCAAAGGCGGCCGCCGGCCGAGAATGACGGCCACGCACAAACCCTCAAGTGGTCTGTCGGGAGCACCACGTGGGGCGACACGTACAAGGATCACTCCCGTCGAGTCTCGCGGGCTGGGTCGGCGTTCCAGTGGCGAGGGGAAGAAGATGAAGATTGGGTGCATGTGGGCGGCCAGTGACGACCGCTTCCGTGCCATTTGAGGACTGACTGTTTACTGTAAATATGAATGTGGGATCGGCTACGATGACGCAGACTTTTGAAGCGCGGTCGTGGGTGAGGAGCTTGTGCCGTAATTGGAACGTGCAGAGTAACCTAGGGATATTTTGGATCCTGGGATCGGCAAGGGGCAATGCCCGAACTGTTTTTAAGTCTGTTTTCCGTACGAAAACAGTACCACAGTAGAAGTAGTAGGAATCCACCTCTACGAGTCTGTGGACTAAACTATGCCTGGATAGATCCGAGATGGATATGTAGTGTTTCCTACGGCCCTGTGTTCCCACTGATTGTGTGCATTTGGCCGTACATCAGCGATTGTTTGTTTTTTATTCGTGTGGCGGCGTCTTTCAAACTATAGGTGGTGTTGGTCTAAATTGACAAGAGTATTAGTCTATTTCTCTGCCTCGGAACCAAAGAACCGGCACAAGTAAGGACATGGAAATTTCTCTAAATACACGAGAGGAGAGTGGGATCTCTCACGTTTGGTTGCGTTTGATTGAGTAGTTGGACACGGGCCCACAGCTAGCTCCACACGGAAACCAACCCCGTTCGTTGGGTGCACTGTCAGCAAGGCATATTGTAGCTTGCGTCAATTGTTTGTAGCAACAACATGAGGAGGGTGGTGACCAGTAGAAGAAGCAGGTGCATTCACTATAGTACGGACCCATCGCGTGGCGTCAACGGAATCAAACGATCGCGTTTACATGCGCATGAACAACATGCAAGGACAGGGAAGGGGCCGTCTTATTTCCAACAGCATCGCAGGTAGACTACTACAAGAAATCGATGGTGGCACCCCACGGCTCAAAAGATGGTAGTCTACCCCGCCCTACTCTTCAGACTATTACCCACTTTATTTATGTTATTTCTATGGAGTACGTCCAATTCACGAATTCAAAGTTGGACTAAACCTTCCCATCATCAGATGGATGGAACATGGCAACGAATGAGCACGGAAATGAACTACGAAGAATGAATGAAGATGACAGCCATTGAGCTGTTAATTAGTTGTTGTGCGCTGGAAGTTTGGACATCATTGGGAGAAGAACGCGACTATTACATAATATTAATAGCTTGTCTCGGGCAAGTATTATCTTCGTTTTTACCCGTGCAGCACTACTCAATGGGTGTTACCAAGATTTATTTCCCAAAACATATCGGGCAGCTGGTGTAGGCTGTGACGCCAACGACCATAAACACGACATGAAGTATGTCGGCGGGCGGGGGGAGCAGTCTCCGCGTCTCCTCCTAGGGCACACTGCACGTTGAACCTGCGGAGCCGCACGTCCATTCTGCGGAGCCCCATAGCTGGTTGCACTTAACCCTAATCCCTGTCAGCTGGCAGCTGTGCTGTCAACACTGTATTGCCCACTGTCTGCTGCAGCAGTCGCATTTGTCGGAGAACGATGTCATCTCTCGCCTACACGGCGCCTGCAGGCACCAGCGAACGGGTCGCAACGCTCCGCTCCCTGGCGTGCATCCGGGAACGCTGCGGGGTGATCTTCGATGCGGCGAAATCGGACAAGCTCGCCCACTTCCGTCTCGATCTCTCCAAGATGGACGACGTCGCCACCTTCGTGCAAGGTGCAGCAATAAGCAGTAGTGTATCGGAGCGAAGCTATGCTGTATGTGCGAGCTGTCCCTGCGTTTGTCGTGATCCTGTTTCACACGGAAACAGAAACGCTCGGAGCATGTGATGTGCGCGAGTTCAACATGCACAGCCTTGCCGTTTTTGGCGACCACCCGCGCGATCTTCACCACACCCACAGTAGCTGTTGTACGAGTACAAGCGTCGGGAGATGATAGCGCCATTTTTTTGCACTGCTGTAGACACCAAGGGACCGGAGCCCAATGTCGTGAAGCTACGCGTACGGTATGCCACGCAAGCATGCTGTTGAATGGTGCGTCTATCATTCCTCTATTCAGCTGAGCCATTTCCGGGCCGTTGGCCCCTGCTTAGGACGAAAGCAGAGAGCAAGGAAGGCATTTCACGGCCTTCATCCGGGGCAAACGGCTGTGTCTGTAGCATGGGATCGTGCACTATGTAAGGCTCGTGCATGCGGCAGTGCTCGCGCTCATAAGAGCCACGCAATAGCGTCGCTCAGCGTGGTTCAGAAGTTTCCACCAGGACGAAAAAAGTGCGGCGGCAGCAGCACGTGGCGGTGTGTATCATACCCTCCTGGTTTTCAAAGTTCGCTTGTGTGTTTTTAGTTGTACATAAAGATTTTCGATAAAGAGAACGTCTGTACAACAGTAGGTGGAGGCGAGAAAAATATTAGATGATTCTGCCGCTGTAGAACATCCGACTCGCCAAATCGCATCCTGTGTTTAATGGGCGGAAAGAAGACCTGGAAAGGGAGCAGTGAGTGCCTCCCAGGAAATGAAAGAGGGTTTCTTGCCATGAAGGTGTGTACACCTACCGAACACAGCTGTATCTCGGGATCATAACCGTAGGAGCATGTAAGGTACAAGTGTATGGCAATTGCTTGTCAATCTGTGGCCTGCTCGGTCTCATCGTTCCTCGGCTGAACGTTGAAAGCGACGACAACCGTCACCTATCATCATTCTTACAACTCAATTCATGCGAATAGGCGACGCCGAACTCTCTTCCAGTCGGCACAGCAGTTTCGGGCCCTGTGCGTCAGCGCAATGTCCGCATCAGAAATGACGCACACGTGGCGGCCCAGCGATGCACACTCCGATCACTGCGGCACGTTCTGCACTAAATGGAGGATGACTTAAACGAAGTCAACCCTCCCCCCCTCCCCTCGTGTGCGTGCCCCCTGGAACGAAGGCCTCATGGACCGGGACTACAGCAGCTACGACGACGTGCCTTACCACTCCCGTTGGCGGCACTTCGAGGCGGGCGGGCTCGACCGCACGGCGCGCCTTACGGCTGCCTGGGACGGCAGCAAGAGTTGCGACGAACTAGGTAGGTACCTGTAGAACGCAATACAGCGATTCTTGGTGTTTCGATATCTCCACCTGTTGAATACCTCGTACCATTCCGTTTGAAGGCATGGTCTTGTGGCGAATTTGTAGTTGACTTTGTCCGAAGGTAAGAACCCCTTCTCGGCGTACGGCTGCCAGCAACGGTGCTGATGCTGCTGCACGCTTTCCTCGGGGGCGATAAACATGCCAATCGACCAGGGTACGACAAGACACAACATGATGCGATCCCTCAGTTTCAGTTTGTTCTTTCCTTCCCCTATGCCGTAGAACCCCGTTCTTGCTCCCTGTGAGAATACCGTCGACCTCGCTCCTGTTCGTACAGATCGATTGTCGTGTTTGGAGTATTTGGAAGCACCTCCAGCCACAGACATGCCCGCATCGTTCACAGACGTGTCTACTACGGTTGACACTACATCTATTCGCAAAGCAACCCTCTCACAGCTGCTGCTGTGATCGCCGTCGCCGCTGGTGACCAAATCGCCAGAACTCTACCTGCGTAACTCGGCTTGGCACATCCCCCGAAGATGTCTGGGGGGTCCGACGCCATGAACACGTTTCAAAAAGCTGACGGTCCGACCCCCAAGAGTGGCGGGCAGGAAGAGAAGAACGTTCTCACGCTGCTATTCCACCGAAACGAACTACAGAAATACTACAGAAATCGCCCGCACTTGAGAACCTCTTTTGTTCTTTTTCGGCCGCGGCTGGGATTCTTAGCTCCTGGGGAAATGCTGCGAGTGGTCGCTACATACTTAAAGGGTTAGAGTAGGGGTTCGAGGTCACAAATGGTGATCAAGTTCTTCGATTGTTGTTTATTGGGCTCATATTTTTCGCGCTCACATTCCCACGTGCGGGCGCTTTCTGTATTCACAACATTTATTTCCTGCCCTGCCCTGCCCTGCCCTGCCCTGCCCTGCCCTGCCCTGCCCCCACCCACTGCTGTCTCAGAGAAAGCGCGGCGTCTGGTAGACCTAGTCGTCACCTCCGTGCTCCTCGATGCCGGCGCTGGCGACGTCTGGAAGTACACGGAAAAGTCCACGGGTTTCGAGGCGGGCCGAAGCGAGGGGCTCGGCGTCGCCAGCTTCCACATGTTCGGGGCAGGGGCGTTCTCGAGCGACACGGGGAGTAACCCACACCGGGCGGACTCGTTGGGGTTGAAGAGTCTCGCGGACGATTCCGTGAGAAGGGCATTTCAGGTGGATGATGACTCTAACCCTCTCGTGGGCTGCGACGGAAGAACCCAGGTCCGTCTGTGTTTTGGTATGTTTCTAGAGTCTCGTGCCTATTTACATGGATCAGTAGACTGGTATATATATATATATATATTTATTTATTTATTTATTTTTCTCTCCCATCATTGGACTCTGTCGTCTGCCCCTCTGGCCCCTATCCTCCACTGCTACCAGCTAGACGACCCAACCGGGGTCACATAGGAGGGGGGGGCTGGATCCCCTCCTGCGGTTCCTGCCTGAGGTATTTTTATCGCGAGAAGGGTACAGCAACCCCTTCCCTCGCGACTTACGAAGCCGATCATGGTTTACTTACTAAAAACGAGCTTTGCGGCGCTTCACTTTCACCCTAGACCAGGATTTATTTAGTGAGAAAAACTCACTCTGCCGGGACCCGAACCCATGACCTGGCCCTTGGCAGGCTGCGAAATTACCCACTAGACCGCCGGGGCGACCGGTATGTACTGGTACCGTAAACTACGGAATTTTCCCCGCCTAATACAGATCCCCCCCCCCCCATTTTTTTCGACCTGGAAGCATGGTTTCGTTGATTTAGCCCCGGGGTAGATCGTTTTCGACCAAAAATAAAAAAGATCCCCCCGGGTATTTCAGTTTCCCCCCGGAGTACCAGTTTCCCACGAGTTCCCCCCTGGGGGGATGTATTTCCCATACTTTCTGAGTCGATTTTGTTACATCGCGGAGCACAAAAAACGTGATATGGGACGAGAAATTCATTTGCAGATCTGCGCTTCGAGCGAGATTTAGGTGTACCGTTTGTTTCTTGGCCCTCGCAGTTGTTTTGTGGGTGAAATGCTCTCGTACATTTCTTGCATGTATCATCCCTGGAGTCAGCTGAAACGTACCACAACATGCTGACGAAACCTTCCGCACAAAGGAACAAATAATCGTGTTCATTTTTGGATCTCACAACTCAAGGTAGAACCGAGCCATAAAAATGGCTTAGGCAATCGTACCTCTATTTCGACCCGAAAAAAAACTTATCGATATCAGTTTCGCCACTCTCTCTCTGTGTGGTGTGCGGACCATCATTTTTTTTGCGTAACCCCCCAGGGTGGAGCTTCCCTCCGGGGTAGCGTTGGAAAAAAAAAAAACACCCCCCCGGTGTTTTGCCATCGGGGTTGGGTTTTCGTCGCTTGGCAACGACGTTGTACAACAAGCCAATTCACTTCGTGAACTCGGCAACCAGGTTTCCGTGTTTTTTTTACCTCTATTTTTTTGGGGGGGGGCGGTAACCATAATGGTGGTCGAGTAGATCATGTTGTGCGGGGTGGAGAAGCCTCGCTCCGCGCAAGGGGGATGATCGCACCACGTTGTGTTGAAATGGTCAAGCACCCTCGAGGCAGTTACACAGAGCTTTCAACTGTCTCTGGAAGTGAACGCACCAGAAAATAAATTAAGTCATACGCAGCTGTCATCCGTATGCAAGGAAGTAAGCACAAGATGCCNCCCCCCCCCCCCCCCCCCCGGTACGTCAACTACCCCCCGGAGGGTTTGGTTTCAGAAAAAAATACGATCCCCTCCCAGGGGGGAAAACTCCGTATCATACGGTAAGTCTCGTCCTTATTTACATATATCTGTAGACTGTATACATGTTTCTGGTATGCGCGCAGAGTTTCGTGCCTGTTACATATATTGGTTTGTCTTTTGGAGTCTCGTGCCTGTTACATGTAGTCTATTGTGTTTCGCTTCTCTTGGCGAGAGGCTCAGGAGTCGCGTGCCATTACATGAAGTGTTGTGCGTCTCTCAGCAGGAGGTCACGCCGCAGGGGGGGCGGGGGCGGTGAAATGTCTTCCGACGGAATGTTGTGTGTCGGTTTGGAGAGCCTTTGCCTTCTGGACTTGGTATGGTGTCTCACCAGGCCTCTTTTTCTCTCTATCTCGACCCGGTGGGCTAACCTACAAGCTAGTTCGCCGTACATGAGATTGATACCCTCATTGGCCATCCAGCAGTCTGTCCAGCTAAACGGCCTGCCGGAGGTTGCGAACACTGGGGGGGGGGCAGACCCTTGACTTGCCCTCTCACCGTCTGCGAGTCGAGAAGGCAGGTGCTGCAAGACCTGCAGAGAAGGCATCATCCCTTGTATGCGTCAAAACAATCATTGTATTCGTACACGGAACGATAGTTTTCTGGGGCCACGCGCAGGGCGCAGTGCTATGGCAGAGGGGTGCGCTCCATGTTGGTTGTATTTCATGTTCCCTTCATTGACACAGGGAAACACGCGTGGGGCAGCTTGGACTCTCGCCAGCTCGTCGATAGGGTAATTGGGCTCTATGGAAAGCAAGGTTTTCCTTCCCAATGACTCTGGGACCCGGGGATGTTCCCTTCACGCCCCCTCGCCTATCGCGTGTACCGTTTTCGATACGCCAAATCAATGAATTTGGCGCAGGTGCTCAAGCGGTTGGGTACGGCCCTTGAACACCACCCGGAGTTCTTCGAGACAGGAGGAGTTTTTAGGCCCGGTAACATGGTGGACTATCTCCTCGCCCAAGCTAGCGACGACTCAAAGGTAAATATTCTGGCGCTGCAGTAGACGAGATAGCGGGGCGCCTTTAATGCCTGGGGCGAACGGGTACGTTGTTGTTGTTTCTCACATTAGCTCTAAAAAGAAAGATTGGGAGCCCGTGGTCTCAAAACCCGGCATACACGACCCCACGAAGAAACAGAAAAAAATAGGGTACAAAAACCACTCGGAAGAGAAACAAAATGATAGAAAGAAAGACCAGCTACCGCACCAAACGAGAACGAGCGTCGAGGAGACCGATCAAAATAAAATAAAAGGAGAACGGGGAGCGCTTCCCACACCCGCCTCGTGTGTAGACGCGTCGGCCGTACTTCAACCAAGAGCAGAAGAGGGGTTGGTGGTTTCGATTCCGTCACTGGTACATACAATAGCGGACGGTTGAGGGCAAAGCGCTTTCTTCCCTTGAATCGCTTACGTAATGGTTCTCTGCGTGTCTTTTTCGTCGAGCAGACCGTGTCCATCACCAGGGTGTGGGGGGTGGTTTCGTCGATTGGTTTTCTTTTGAATCGAATGTTCTTTGCGCTTCTTGTTCTTCGAACAGACCGTGTCCCTCACCAGGGTGTGGGGGGTGGTTTCTTCCCTGGGTTTTTTTGTCAATCGAATGTTCTTTGCGCTTCTTTTTCTTCGAGCAGACCGTGTCCATCACCAAGGTGTGGGAAGTGGTAATGTACGGGTTCGAGGCCATGTGGCCTGCCGGGAGGACGGAGCTCGACGGGCGGAGCATGGGGGACGTTTGGGAGCACTCGGCTCTTCCGGACGACGGCAGCGGGTGGTCCAACCTCGTGCCTTTCCACAAGCTGTCGCAGTGGATGACGTACTCTCTCATGGAGCCGCTGCAGGTGCTTGTCTGCTGTTGCTGGCGATGGTGGTGTTGATGTGTGATGGTGGTGCTTCCACAGTGGAGACGTGCCCATATCATCTCTGCCAGCGTTCGCTCGAATGTTTCGTAGTTTTTGGTGCTGCTATTGTTGTCGCTATGGTACAGAGAGCGCGCCATCAACCCATTACACTTTGCAGTTCAGGCAGTCAGGCTCAATAACCGTGCATAGTTTAGATTTGGAAGACACCACGGACAAGATAAAGGAGTGAGGTCTGATGAGCACGGTTGACGCAAGCATGTGGTGCCATCGCAGCCCCAACGGAAATTAAAGTCGTGTGGAAGATGAGCGGACGGGGACTACGGTGCAGCTACTGCTTGGCGCCAACGCTTACGTCTAAGGGCATCAAAGCCCCTTTTTTTTGTCGGTGTTCTTCTGCGTGACGCCGGATGGTACTCGTACGCTCAATGGGCACCGGCTGGTGTAGACTGGCGCCAGAACAGGCAGGAAACGGAAACACAAGAAACACAAACTTTTACGTTTTTCTCCATCAACATCAGGAGTCATTTTCGCTATCCCCTTCGTGATTATTTCACCGCCGCAGCAGGCGGCCGGGTTGGTCTTGACGGAGACTGAGCTCATGACGGGTCTACCGGAATACCGCAACGGGGGCCTGCTGTTGGACATGGGGCTGCTAGAAGCCAAGCACCCGGGGGTGACTGGACAAGCACATGGTCCAGAAGAAGAGGTGGGTGGTGGGTGGTGATGTGCATTGTTTCAGGCTCGTTTTCCCGCACGCTTATCCATATACCTGCGGCGATTCATGGTGGTGCTTTATCCTGATGTAGTGCCCTCTTGCCAAGCGCGCGCGGTATTTGGCGTGAATGTCGTGTTAGGTTGTTGTTAAAGGTGATGTGAAGTCAATTGTGCGGTATTTTGCGCGAATGTAGTGTTGGGTTATTGTTAAAGTTGATGTGAAGTCACTTCGAGGAGGGCGTCGTGCAGTTTCGTTGCCATCGTTTGCTCCGGTGCTCGCCCTAGAGCGTAGTATAGCGTTGCGCTCGTTTGACCGACGTACGAAAGTTCACGAGAGAGTGACCACGATTGCGCCTGTCGGCAACCAGCAGATCACCGCCGGAGGGCGAAAACAATCACAACGTGGTATCATGTGCATACAAGCACGTGTCTAGACTTGACGGCCTGCCGACGCCCTGGTTCAAGCATGCATCCTTTGATGGCGACTAAGAGGACGCGTGATTGGAACTTATGATATCGCGCTGCCTCGCCAGGAATCGTGCACGAGGTGATTGTGTCATATGTTTTATGGCCGTTCGAATCACAAGTCACACCGACAACCAAGTCGAAGAGTAAGAGTATTGTGTTGTTATATGGCAAGCCCCTATTTGGCGTTGTGTTCGCGCTTGAGCTTGTTTCTTTTGTAAGTCGATCACATATACACGTATGAAACCCTAACCCTATTCCGGTGCAGGTTATCGTGGAGTGGAGAGCGCTGACGGTGTGCCTCTTGGACGAGGTCGCGGCAGCCCTTCGACAAAAGCTGGGCAAGACGGAGGAAGAGTTCCCGCTGGTCAAGGTGCGAGACAGGTGGTTCTTTCGCCTAACCCTTACTCGCCTAACCCTAACTCGCCTAACACAAACCAACTCGCCTCGCCCTAAGTGTTGGCGGATCGGTTCGAACAGGTACGTGCTGTGTCACGTGGCTCGCCGCCGGTGGGCACACACTTCAATCCGTTCTGTTTTTTTTTGTGGCGTGTGTGCATGATGTACGATACGGACCCGATATCAAGAAAATTCGTCTTTGTTTTGTCCCAATGGATGTACCACACAGAGTTCAGGACGAGTTCGTAACACGAAGTATTTGACAGGGAGAAACGACAAGAAGCGATGGCATCACGCCTGTTTTATTTGTGTTTTTGTAGCGGTTAGGAGCCGCCATGCTTTGATTGGTCGAGGCTTCTTCGTACTTTTCGATTTGGGTACTGATTGAAGCTGCTCGTGCATCCCAGCTCGTTCACGTCCTAGTGTTTTTGTTGCCGCCCAAATACTTCCTGCCTCGGGGGGGGGTGGGGGGGGGGGATGGGGACATGCAGAATCATCCCCCTCCCAGCTACCCCCAGTCACCTATTCGAAATGGTGTCGCCTCAGCTCCTCTTGCCGCGTTGTGGTTTGTCCAAGCAGGGTGCGTATTTTGTTGTTTTTGGGATCGCCAACGCCCGTCCTCAACAAAAGGCAATCTGTGTAACTCTCAGAATATGCTGACCCCGCCCCCCCTGATGAATTCTCGGAACAGATGCTTGAAGGGGGCACGTGGAAGGCCGGCCGGTACATGGCAAAGACTCTCAGGCCGCAGACCTGCGGGCCCCCCATCGAGATCGTCAGTGACGGCACCGTGTTTTGAAATCATTCTGGGTCGTTTTGCTGGGCAGAGTTGGTCCTCTGCTCCGAGCCGCACGCGTTGTTTCGAGACGCAGATTGCGCGGCCACTGAAGAAACGGCTGTTGTCCTGAATGTGATAGCGGCTTAGTTCCTCTTTGAGGGAAACCAAGTTAGTGTGCGGTGGGGTTCAAGTTCTTCGGTATGAACACTTTTGGGCTACACCCTCAAGGTTTAGGGCTAGATAGACTTTGTTGGGCCATTTATCGGCCCCACCTCCTTTGAACTCCTTCACAAGGGGGGTGCCGAGGCAGTCGGGGGCAACTAGCCTAGTGTGGATGCTTTGTAGAGTGGAGGGGTAAGAGGGTTAATGACAAGTCGATTCGCGGGACGATACCGCGGGTTCAACGGCGAAGTTGCGCCGCTCCTATTTGTGCTTGGGTGGAAAACGCTACACTACTCTGGGACTCTAGGAGCAAGTGCGAAAGTAGCACTAGAAGCACGTCGCCCACCGATGACAGGAGGCATCGGGCAACGTAGACCTTGGGTTGTTAGAAAGTCTCGCTTTCACTCTAAAGGAGTATCTTGAGAACCTCGCTTTCGTCCCCAGTTTACCACGCTCCCGCCAGCTGTTGTCTCTAAGCCCCATCGATGGCCCCTCGATTTTCGTCGGGGCATTTGAATGCCGGTCGCCCCTTGTACTCTGGTTGATATCCTCGAAAGCCGTCTATCTAGTGGCCAGAGTCAGGGGCTCGAATCCCGGCGTAAGCGAGCTTTTCTTGCAAAGTGATGTTTGCTCTTCGCTTCCGTTCCTGGCCTGGGTGGAAAGCGCTAGTTCGCGGACGCACAGAGAGAAGAGAGTGCGTCACTCTTAACGCATTAAAAATCGAAGGCAAAAATCCGCAGAAGGGGTGGGTGGGTAGTGGGTAGGCGGCCTCAGGGAGAGGAACTCTTCTGTGTGACCACGGGTTGGATGGAGCACATGGCGCAAGTGCTTTGAGCGCTGATTTGAAATGAAGACAACAAAAGAAGAAAAGGGAATTGCTTCTAGACAAGAGAACGCCCCTTGCGGGGAGGCAGCTTGTATACCCCTGCATACACTATCCGCATCATCCAATTAGCGGGCGTCTTTTTCTCTTGTTAGGTTTCGCAAAACTTCCAAGAACGCCGAATTTTCTGCGAAGGATATCTCCCATGTTCTTGATGGAGTGGTACCGCGGTCTGTATAGGGTATGGGGTACAGCAGTAATATAGTCGAAATCTACATCTACATGATGGTAGGGCTACCCTCTTCTTCCAGCAGCCTCATGCATGTTGCACGCAGAATCTCAGCCCATGTATTTAGCTCGGTTGTGTACAGCTGCTGGACTCGACACATGATCCGCGACACAGTCCGTGTACCGGTACTTAACTCTGTTTTGGGACGGAACTACCGTACCAACAGGCGAAGGAGGCGGTCGCAGGAAACAAAGCGCAACCCGAAGGCAGCAACAATCAAGTCTAGTTCACAAACTAAACAGATGAATCGATCATTCATTGACACCCTCGCCTACCACAAAGAGCAGCGGAATCTTTTTTACAGAAAAAACATGTTAGCGCCGTCGCATTCTACACTCAAAAGCAGGAGAGAAAGCTCCCACAACCAAAATTGCACTGCAACACCATATTACGCAATCAGACCTTCCTGGATTAAAGTCAAAATGTCGACAAAACGGGACTAAAAAGCAACCGGAGAAGCACAAACACGAAGTGCTGAAAAAAAAAAACGAAAGCAAAACACACCCGTTTTTCTTCTTCGAGCGACCAAGCCACCATCCACGCCGTAGACTACACGAAGAGGGGGAGGGAGAACGACGAAAGCCCAAAATCGCGGGATGCGGGCTGTTGCAGACACCGTCTTCGAAAAGCGTGCGAGTCCATGTAGTGTAAGCGCCGGTATTGCTACGCGATTTACAACGATTCAAACACAAGAACACGAGCAGGCTTTTCGAGAGCTGCAGCAGTACATGCGAGTAGAGCAGAGCCCGACTCACCCCAAACCCCAACACGAGCTTAGCATATTTTCTTGTCTTCATGGGAGAACCAAAAGCACATACACGCCCCACTACCGGAAAACCCCACGACATAACCATAGCACGAAAAATACAGACAGATCTTCTGGTTTCTACTACCAGCGAAATCACTCCGTCGCTAGGACACAAGCAATGAGTTAGCCCCACCCACTCCTCGCACAGACATCAGCTGACGAGATCAGGGGACTGGCTCTCCAGTATCGACCGCTCTCCTGACAAAGGTGGAGACTACATAGGAGACTACATACCTGCGCCAGGACCTAAAAAGTCACGCTTACGGTGTTAGGGTTGGCGGCCGTCCCGCTAGGACAAGGACGCTGCGCTTACCCAAGCGCGCATCCTACCAGTGAGAAGATGCTATCAAACAGAAGGGGAACAACGGAGTAAAACGCCCTCATCATCACCATGCAAGCGCTCGACATGAGTGGGTCCTACCCCCCCCCCTCCCCCCGAAAAATCTCCTACGGTATTCCAACTTGAAACAAACTCGAAATAACCTCCGACACCGGGGCCGGGGGTGCGCCTAGACAACCACAAATGTTATGTTAGGGTGACACGATCTCCCGAGAGTACAGTTGCGGCGCATGGCATCCGACCTCGTCGTCATGGGGCAGCATTGCCTTAAGGGAAACCGACTGGTTGCTGCACCGGATCAATCACGTTGCGGTGAAGGACAACATTGGCCTGACACACCCAATCAGCGATGTTCTGGACACAGGACAGTCGCGTTCGACCGACCACAAAGCCAAACCACGTACCACCTCAGTCGTCTCCCTCCAACCAATCGGGCCCCGGCTATTAAACATACCCCGCATGACATACTTCGACCGACACTTTCCGAGAAACGATGCCTGAGCAACGGCTTTGCCGCTAGTCCCACACCCGCGGCCTGACAACATGGCATTCGCCCCGCCCATCCCCTTGCTCGGGAATCTCTGGAGCACAACGATGGTGATCGATTATCCCGATCGCTTTTCCGGTGGCCTGCCACGCCGAGAGGCAGCATTCTCCAACAAATCGCATCACACCGGTTGGCCCGCACCATCTCCGACAAATCAACTCGCGCCAAAAAATCGCTCGGGACAATCATCTTCGAGAGCGATCGAGGTCCGGGTTGGTAGGGATAGGCAACTCCACTTTCTCGCCTCTCGCACACCTGCGAAGAAGAAAAGCAATCATGGAGAGCAGAATTCCGTCGTTGCGGCCTTGCTATAAAAATACAAAAGCTTCACAGACGCGCGACCAGAGCAAAACCTTTCAAGTCGCGAGGGGTGGAAGTGTTGCTCTTCTCTTTGTCCTCTCGTTTACAGTTGCTTGTCACCTTCCTTCTTTTCGAGTGACATTACTAAAACTTGTCGCTGCTCGACATAGTAAAAGCAATTTCCGGATTCTCCGCTGTTTATCCATCCACATGCATTGTTCTGTGCAATTTCCCTTTGTGGTATGATAGTTTCGTCTCACGTTCCTTTGTGAGTGCCGCAAGTAGAACAGCCGCCGCTCGGTGTGACGAGGAGAAAATGAAGTCTGTCTAATTGGTGGATATGCACAAACGTATTTGTTGCGTAGCTTGTTTCTCATATTCCTTTCGAGAAGGGTCATCACTACAACACCCAATCCGCTCGATTTGACGAGGACAAAAAACCAGCGTACACCCACTGCGCTACAGTCTATACTTTGTTGTGGTGCAGTATGCATGTTTATGTGTAGATTCTCACCTAACGACGAGAACCGTGAAGTACGTAGTCACCGAACAGCCCACCAGCACGATCGCCGCCCATAAGGTCTCCATGAAAACCCCTTCGGCCTTATCGGAATCCTGGAACCGCCGGGAAAAAAACGAAATAAGCACACACACATCCATTGGTTGGTCAGTCGGCTTTAGCGGTCGATACAAATAATTGAAGACAAATCAGAGGGCATGGAGGTTTCGGTGTGTTGATCACTCGCGCTTGACTCAATGTTCTCCTCTACCAAAACACAAACCACAAAACAGCCAAACGTTTAATTTCTTACTTCTTGTCGTGTGTAAACAGCAAAACGTGAGACGGCCAGTCGAAGATTCTGCTTTGGTCCGACTCCGGTGCGTACAAAAACAAACAACCGACCTTGCGGATAGAGTTGTGCTTGACAAAGACCCTCTTGAAACGGCCGATGCCGTTACCCGCCTGTCCGTCCAGGATGGGATGATTCGGATCGTTTGCCAAGAAGCCGTCGTCGTCGTACGCCTCCGACAAGCTCGTCGGGGACTCCCATACCTGTACGGTGGCAGAAGAATGGGCGCCCGCGCGGGGGGGGGGGGGGGGGGG